TACAGCTAAAAGAGGACCACAAAGCTTTTATAGGGTCACACAGTTGCCTGGTAGCAAATCCAAGATTTTCAAGTTCCCTGAAATCCACCCACTTTTTGTTATTTATCCATTTTTTCTCAATAATTACGTTAGAATATGATATAGAACCATCTGTGACATTTTTATACAGTGTCTCATTATTGCTTTTTAAAAAATATGCAATCTAGGCATTTAGTCACATTTGACATCATTGGATTATATGATAGTAGTCAACTGATTTAGGTTGGCACCCTTCTTATATATATTTTGGGTCAGTTTTTTTGTCTTCTTATCCCATTCCATTGGTGTATCTGTAGATATTCACTACCAGAATATATTTTAATCATTAGCTTTGATATATTTTAGTATCTAAAAGGCTTATTCCTCCTCACTATGGGACACATTTTCCAAGTGACACCATATATTTTTTTAAATTTCAGCTTTGCTGAGGCCTAATTGACATATAAAGTTATAAGACATTTAAAGTGTACATCATGGTAATTTGATATATACACACATACACTCATGAAAAAATTCCCCCCATCTACTTAATTAGCATATTCATCACCTCACATATTTATCTTGTGTGTGCAGGTTAGAACACATTTTTTTTTTGTCGGTTTGTTAATCCTCACCTGAGGATATTTTTTCCATTGATTTTTAGAGAGTGGAAGGAAGGGGGAGAGACAGAGAGAAACATCAATGTGAGAGAGATGCATCTATTGGTTGCTTTCTGCACGCCGCCCAACAGGAGCTGGGAATTGAGCATACAGCCAAGGTACATGCCCTTAACTGGAATCGAACCCTTGACCCTTCAGTCTGTGGGCCGACGCTCTAACACTGAGCGAAACCAGCTAGGGTGAGAACATATTTGTTTACTCCTGGCCAACTTCCATTATATAATACAGTGTTATCAACTGTAGTCACCATGTTACACATTAGATCCTCGGACTTACTCATCTTACTGCTGGAAGTTTGTACCCTTTTACCAGCCTCTCCCTGTCTCCCCCC